GCTTAAAAGGATCCTGAAATTACAATGGCAACAGTCAGATTTTAACTATGGCTATAAAAACAAGGTTTTTAGTAACAAATCAATGAGTTGGGCTTTTAAGTGTTATCATGTAATATTTATTAAATATTTTATCTGTTAAATTGTTTTCTATAATGTCAAGTCTAAATTATATTTGTAACTTGCTTTTGGGCCTTTCGGCTGTAAATAAATCTTTTTTTACAACTTAGAAATGCTATGTAAATGATAAATGGTGTTGGGAAACTCATAGAAAAGACAATATCTGCTAAACATTCTTTATTTAGTTTTTTAAAAAAGTCCACTTTTTGGCTTAACTAGCTTCCTGTAACATTTGGATAATTATCTCATATACTTTGTTGAGGTCTGTCATCCACCTTACCTTTCCTGATATGCACATTAAATCTTATTTAAATCAGACAAAATTCTAAAACCTACTTTTTGGTTGTTTTGTGATAAATACTCATGGTCATCAATATCAATTGCTAATAGCAGTTTTGTCCTTCACCAATCTGGAATTTCTTCTCTAAAACCTTTATATTCATTATTTTCTAATCTTTACTTGACTTCCCCATAGTTTGTTAGCAGAGGCACTGACTGAATTAGGTATTTTATCATTCAACAGGAGGGAACATTAAACTCTTCAGCTTGTAAAATAATAGAGAAGTGCAGCTTTGTAGGGCTACTTATATGAAATTCTTGCTCACCTGCTTGTGCTTCCTTTGTTTGTTCTCTGTGCCAGTGTTTCTCAACTTTGGCAACTTTAAGATGCGTGGACTTCAACTCCCAGAATGCCCCAGCCAGCATGCTGGCTGGGGAATTCTGGGAGTTGAAGTCCACGCATCTTAAAGTTGCCAAAGTTGAGAAACACTGCTCTGTGTTAAAGGTTGGTTTCTATACGATGCTAAGCCATAACATAATTGGATTGGTTTAGTATATTTTTGGAAGCCTTGTCACTGTGATCAGGAAATCACGATTTAGGCTGTGACGTGTAAGGACCTAACCAATTGTGCCAAACTAGCCACCGAGTTGGAAGTTTATTCTTGGCTACCTCTGTCAGACTGAAACCTCATTTTCGTTCCTGTGATTCTGGAAGCTTGATGGTATGAACCATTAATACGCCACAGCAGCTTTCCTCGACCTGGTGAACTGCTAGGCGAGGATGATGGACACTGCAGCCCAGCAGAACTGGAAGAGGAAAGCTGCGTCACCCTGCGGGCTTCGCTAAACGGATAGTCGCCGGCGATGTACAAGGACGCATCACCGCCCGGCCCTTACGGGAAGGTGCGTTTTAAAAGAATGTTTCGCCGATGGCCCCGGTTGAAAACGGCGGCCGGCTCGGCTCCTTTCCATCGGCCGGCCTGTCTGTCATCGGTTCTTCGGAGGACTTCGCCAGCAGCCTCCCTTTGTCTCCGGCGGGGTCGCAAGGAGGGCGGGAAGAATGCTAAGGGAGAAGCGACAGGATCTTGCCCCAGCTCCTTCCCCCCAGCGACCGCTTCTTAAGTCCCGGTCAACTTTCGTTGGCTTTTGCGGATACAGAGACGCGGACTTTGGGCTGAAAAGCCAGGACGAGGCGCCTGGAGCGCTTCTCTCCTCTTGCCCAGGCGCAGCGAGGAGAGAATGGCGGGGGAAAGGCAACGGGGTGAGAAAGGGAGAACTCCGCGGCTGCCCTGTAGTAGCACTAGCCAAGTCCCGGTCCTCAGGATGGGCTCGGCCCCTCCAGGCGCTTTGCACGCCTTCCACCCTCCTCTACGCTCCAGGGTGCCCGAAGGACTTCCCCACCCCTCTGTTCCGGTTGCTGCCATAGTGATGCGTGGAAGCAGATTAGCCTCCGATACCCAGGGGAGGGGAAAAGCCGCCGCCGCCGCCGCCGCCGCCGCCGCCTCACCAGCAGCGAGAGAGCGAGGCGTGAGAACGCTTCTGCGGCCGCTGCCGCGTCTCCGCTTCCTCCTGCGCCCGCGTGGAAGCATTTAGGGGACCCCCCTCCCCCGGTGATGGTTTCTTCCCAGCCCGACGCGGATTTGGTGCTCAGCGCATGCAGACGTTCGTCCCCTTTTCCCAGGTAACTGGCTGGGAGCGGGGAGGACTCGCGATTAGGCTTCCCAGCTTTCTTTGTCGCTTGAGCGCCGCGGCGGTGGTGGCTGAATTACTTTTGCACTTCCTTCTGCACTTCGTACTTCTCGCTTTCTTTATTTCCTGGGACTCCTGAAAGGAGGGCCTGGGAGCCCAGCAGGTGCCTGGGTTCACAAGTTGTGGAAAAGTTGGAAGCAAAGAAAAAGTTGGAAAGATCAAGAGAGAGAGGGGGGAGACGTCATCCTTGGCTGGCCAGTGAGAAAATGATTAACTGAAATAGCAACTTTGGGTGCCCGTGGTTCCCTTGCAATGTTACTTTCCAGCGTATGGTCAAGCCTTTCCCTTCCAGTAGCAGTGTATTGTTATTTTAGAAGTATGTGCGTAAACCATGACTGCCTTCCATTATAGTGCCTCGTCCCATGCAGTAACTTTCTTCAACCTGATGCCCTAGACGTTTTGGACTACACAACCCCAGTCATCCCCAGACAACAAATGCCATGTGATTGAGATAATCCCGTATACTTAGAAGATACTCAAATGGGGAAAAATCTCTTTCTACCCTATCCTTTTTTCTTAACCTTGCCTTTTGATTGTTTTGGTCTTGTATGTGTCCACTCAGAAGTTCAGAAGTAAACATTAGTTCAGCAGGGCGTATTTGATGAGTTTAGGACGGTGGCTGTAAAAGCGGTTGTCGTGTTTACTCTGCTCCCTTTTTAAATTTTAAAACCACCTGTTAAAATTTTGAAATATAATCAAAGGAAGGCTGATGAAGGAGCATTTGAATCTGAAGCTCCTGAAAGTTATCTGAAAAATAGTTCCAGGACTCTTCAAAGCAGCCCCTTGTAAATATTTCGATTTCAGCATGCCTTGGTGTGAGTAAGAAGTGTCTATTGCAGTACAGTGAGTGAAGCTGTAATGATTTGAATAGGGTAGCAGGGGGAAACAGAATTAAAAGGGGGATGTTGAATATCTCTTGGAAACACACTAAGCTCTTGTTGGCTGCTGTGTAATGTCAATTTTAAAAGAAGGAAAATAGAGTATATAAGGGAAAAGGGACTTGTTGAGGATGAAGTTAATTGAAACAGAAAATGTCCAAGGGTTTTCATGGAGTATATATAAAAGATTACTAATGCAACATGTTTTTCTCTTTAACTAGAAATTAAAACACGATTACTGAAGAGCTTAATGGTTGTTTGAATTAACAATATTCCATGTGGAATATTAATATATTGCTTATTTATGTGGATAGGTGCTAGATCTCTTTTTTTCTCCCTCCTTCATACTGATTAAATTCTGGATGTTCAATGCATTGACTCAATTTATTTTGATTGTAGGAATTTATAGCTTTCACAAGTACCAAGGATGGCTTAAAAGTGAAGGCTTAAAGGTGAATATAATAGCTTCTGGTCCTGCAAATTTCTCCTCCACTTCTTTGGTTGCTAAGAGGGCTTAACTTCATGTTTATAAATTAACTCAGGAAGTGTTTACAGCAGTGTTTCTCAACCTTGACAACTTTAAGATGTGTGGACTTCAACTCCCAGAATTCCCCAGCCAGCATGACAATTTTACAGCAATGTTTCTCAACCTTGACAATTTTAAGATGTGTGGACTTCAACTCCCAGAATTCCCCAGCCAGCATGACAATTTTACAGCAATGTTTCTCAACCTTGACAATTTTAAGATGTGTGGACTTCAACTCCCAGAATTCCCCAGCCAGCATGACAATTTTACAGCAA